GTGATGCAGAACAGGCTGCATGGAGAGAAACGGGGGAACGAACAACTATGAGAAAACCAAATGTGTGAGCTTCGGGGAGCTCTTCTGGAGGCTTCTGGGAGGCCTGTGGTAGACCTGGGGCACCAGGCGGGAGCAGCCCCTGGAGCTCCCTGCAACCTCTTGGGGTTATGGTGGCTCCGGATGGCCGAAACCCTGCAAAAACAATCGGAACGTTTGGCCATGGGCCCCCCCATGCCCTGCCGAGGGCCCTGGACGGGACCCCCCGGCCACGTCCCCCGGTGTGTATATATGTATATATACGTATATATATATATATATATATATATATATATATATATATATATGTATATATATATATGTCTATGTATAGGTGTATATGTGTATATATGTATGTATGTATATATACAGAGAAAGAGTGAGAGAGAGAGAGAGAGAACCATGCGCGCTTCGCGCGCGCTTGGACTCTATCTGGCTCCAGGCCTTAACGATTTCGCAGTTGCACTGAAGCAATGAGACACACGCGGTTGGAACCAGAAGTAGTTCCCCCGCCTCATATTACCTTTGCCATCAGCAGCTTCTACGGCATACGAGCCAAACCATTAGACATGCAAGACATGCACGTGAATGCGCACCTGGGAGTTTGTCAGGATCCCAGGGGTCTCTTCGAAGACTTGGTGAGTCCTGGAAGCCTCGGGGGCCTCTTCGGTTTTGTAGGGAATGTTTCGGAAACGTCGCCAGGGTTGCTGGTGACTTTGGGGGGTGTCTGGGAGCTCAGGGGTTCTGATTGTCCTGGCGGGGCTCCTGTCTGGACACTCTCTTGGAGCCATGTTGGGGGCCGGATAAATCATGTTCCTGGAAGGCTTTCTGGGAGCAAGGATTTGTGGTGTGCTGTTTGGAACGTTTCGTCGTCGTCGCCTCGTGCGGAGCCTTGTTGGAGGCCTGATAAATCTAGTTCCCGAAGGCCTTCTTATAATGTGCTTGTTGGGTGTGCTTTGGGGTGGTGCTTGAGGCGTTCTGTCGGCGGCGTCGCCTCTGGGGGAGCCATGTTGGGGGCCTGATGAATCATGTTCCCGGAAGGCCTCATGGGAACACGATTTTTGGGAGTGTCCGGGGGGCTGCTTGGGGTGCTCCGTCGACCGTCGTCGTCGTCGCCCGCGTTGAATGGGGACCTGATGAATCATGTTCTTGGAAGACCTGCTTGGGACGCTCTCGGGAGCTTGCCGAGGTCTCCTAGACGCCCCAGGAGTGCCCATGAAATCCCAGACAAATCCCAGACAGTGAAACAGGCCAGTCTGGGATTTGTCTGGCCTTTTCGATTATGGAGCCCAAGTTGAAACTCCCATGGCCTCATCTTGAGCATCCCTTTCGGGCCTTATATGGACCCCTATACGTTACACTGCATCCTGTAACACACTGCATCCCGCTGCACTCCTCTAAGGCTTTCGTATCTCTCAAATGTTTCTCTGGATTAGGGGGTTTGGACGCGCGAAGGCGCCACGAGGCGCCGAGACAAAGACCGAGAGGGGCCACAGAGGGGCTGAAGAAGAGCTCAAGAGAAGCCCAAGAAAGGCTCGGGAGGGGTCCAAGAGAGCTCCCAGAGAGCACCCCAGCAGTGGCACCCAAGAGGGCCATCTGGGCGCCACTGTCAGAAGGCGCGCTTGAGGTGCTCTTGGGCTTCTCTCGGGAGCCTTTCGGAATCTTCTGAGGAGCCCAAGAGGAGCCCAAGAGCAGCTAGTTGGCCCTCTTGGAACCATCTTCGAGGAGTCTTGGAGCCCTCTCAAAGACCCCAGTGTCCGAAAGAAGCCCAAGAGCAGCCTGGGAGAGGCCCAACAACACTCCAAGAGGACCCGAAGATGGCACCCCGACAGTGGCACCCACGAGCTCCTCTTGGGTGCCAGTCGGGTGGCCTTTTGGGGTCCCTCCTGGGGTCCTCATGGCCCCCCTTTGGTCTACTCTCGAGACCCCGTTGGGTTTCTCTCAGAGCCCTGGTGGGGCCGATCTGGGAAACCAGACAGCAAGGTGACCGAGAAACTTTCTCAGCCGCCCGTCGGGCCGCTAAGATCAACTGCGCGCAACTGATCTCATAACTGGATATCGTTTAACCGACCCTTATCCCCACTGGCGTGGCCCTCGTCCCACTGAGTGATTTAGCCCACCACACGGTGGGATGTATACCGTCTCCCTCGGGTTTCAGGGGGTAAATCCTTACCTCGACGGCGGGGGGAAGGGTAGGTTGGTAGGAGGCTCAATGGGGGTCCTCTTGGGAGCCATGTTGGGGGCCTGATGAATCATGTTCCTGGCAGGCCTTCTAGGAACATGATTTTTGGGCGTACTTCTATCTTGGAGGGCTGCTGATGGCACTGCGTCATTGGCGTCGGCCATGCCTGGGGCTTGATGAAGCATGTTCCCACAAGGACTTCTGGAAGCCTGATCTTTGGGAATGTCTTTGGGGGCTGCTTGGGCCGGTCCGTCGTCGTCGTCGCCTCTTGAGGAGCCAGGTGGGGAGCCCGATGAATCATGTTCCCGCAAGGGCTGCTGGGGACATGAATTGTGGGAATGTCTTGGGGGCCTGCTTGGGGCGTTCCGTCGTCGTCGTCGCCCATGTGGGGGCGTTCCGTCGTCGTCGTCGGCCACCGATTACCGCGCACGTTGAAAAAACCTGGGCGGGAAACCTGTGAAAGGCCGAAGAGTCCTCCCCCCCGTCCTTCTCCAGCTCGGCTGCCTTTGGCGCTGGGCGCTTCCCTCCGGAGCCGAGAACTCAAGATGACAGCCCGTCTTGACTTTGTCATGGCGGTTAGTGAACACACCACCTTGCGTCTCGCAGTAAGCGCGGGTGGGGTGGGGTGCGGGGCGCCACCCTCGCCTGCAGCCCCGAGCCGATGCTGGTCGCAAGTAAGCGCGGCGCGCCGAAAGCGCCGCGACCCGTGGCGAACCGCGTCAGCGAGGCAAGTTTGACCCCTCGGGGGGATGACCCTGGCTGAGATCACGAAACGCAGAGTAAAGAACATGCCAGAGAAAGAGGGAGAGAAAGAGAGAAAGAGAGAGAGAGAGCGAGCCGTGTGCGTCCAAGGTGCGTTGGCACGAACGGAGCATGCAGGCGGCAGCAGAAGATATGTGTGGAACTACCACGTCCAGTCCGCACACGGCCGAGTGAAGCGCGTTGATCAAGGGCAGATTTCAGAAGCCTGCGAGTCTCCTGGCACGGCTGCGTCAGAGGCTGAGGGCGAGAGAGAGAGAGAGAGTCGCGAGAATGGGGACAGCTCGAACTGCGTGAGCAGGGCTCGAAGCCACGGCGGATGGCTCTTGGCGCGTCGCACGCGCTCTCTGGCTGGCCTGGATCGCCTTTGGTGAAAAAAACAGCAGTGCGCTCGCACTCGCTGGCCAGGCAAGTCAAGTCAGCTCAGTCAGGTTAGAAAACAAGACAGAGGGCAAGACCTCTGCCAATACATCACGCACCTGCAGCGCTGCGGGCACCAGAAGGCGATTGACTGGTGGTGACTCTCACTGCACAGATTCACGTCCACGATTTCCTCAAAGAGAGCGTCGGTCCACAGAGCGCAGCCAGTCAGCTTCACGCCGTCACAGTCGTATATTGGCAATCCTGGGGCAAGCTCGTAAATACCCTGAGCCATCCTCTCAAAGGTGATACCATGCCAAATGCTTTTTTGCACAGATGCGACGGTCTGGTTGGACGCGCTACCCGTCGCATCCTCGTAGGCCGAGATCACGCCCTGTATAATTGCGCTCGTGCTTGTGCTCGTGAGCCTTGCCCAGAAGCCCGGGCGCTTCTGCACGTATTGAGAAAATCCAGAGACGTACTCTACCATCGCTTCGGTCCTCCATGTCTCAGAGCTGTCGCCCACGCAGCTAGCATTTCGCAACATGTCGCTGAATGGTTGGTCGATTATGTGGTCAGAGTAGCATTGGCCAGGGCAACCCCAACGAGGATGAGAGAAAAATAACCACACCTTGGAACAGCCTGAAGTCTCCGGGCAAAGGCCCCTGAATCTGGTCATGCTGTACCATCCCGCCAGGCCTGCATCCTCGCCCCCAGCACAGCTATCTACCAGTCCGCCTGTAGCGTCTTTCAGGAACGCCTTGACCGCCAAAGAGTCTTGATTCGTTTCTCGGCGTGAGAAATCTTCACAACGTGCCATCCATGTACTAGGCTGGACGTCCGACGTTGACATTGTCTTGATGAAGTCGTATCCAGTCCACAACTTCAAATCATCATCTTCGCTCATGTTGGAGTTGTACGTGATCCCCGCACTCGTGCCCTGTGGCCAGTAGTCTGAGATCAGCTGTGTGCCGACATCGTTTTCTTGCAAATAGTCGTGGAGTCCTGTAAACTGCAAGATCGTCTGTTCGATCACGTCATCCCATGCGTTATCATCGGACGGAGAGTGCACCCTTGTGGCAAACACGACGCCAGTGTCGGGGGCAACGGCGTAGACGAAATCAACGTCACCAGAACACAAGATCTGCTGCGCGATCTCCATATTTCTGGCCATCGGGACCAGGACGAACGTAACTGTCAATGCTGTAGAACATAATGCAAGAAAGAGCGATCAGAGACGAATAGGTAGACGCTGAACCACTCCCAGCGCTGCTGTTGCCACGGCCGAACCAGGGGCGAACTTGGTATATTCTTCTAGCGTGAACGGCCTCATCCTGCTGGCAACACGTTGCACCCGACTGGGAACGAATATGGGGTAGATCATCTCATCAATATCCAGAACGAATCCTAAAGCCAAACTGTTGAAGAGCAATTGCTGCAAGTTCACAGTATGACATAAGAAGAGCAAACCAGCATTCAACAGAAAAAATGCGATCGCAAGACGTGGAACTACAACAAGCAACATAATGGAGTAGAGCCCTGCTGAGCTTATGGATTGGAATGCGAACTTGCCATCCGTATATTTGGCAAGCTTTGTTGAGCTTTCCCGTGGTACCGAACAGAGTGCATGTACAAACATGGCAGTGACATTTACCTCTTTCATGATAAAGCATATCCACAAGAGAACCACTAATGTGCACAGCAACAACCCACTTTTGACATTCAATAATTCGAAAACCGTCAAGAATTTACTGAAGTCAGACCAGAACTCGATCTAATTAGTGGCGACATGCAGAGCGTCATTGTCGACCTCGCGGCAGACCTCGGCGATCAAAGACGTCCCCTTTTCGCCGATGGACGAAGATACATGGTGTCCCGCGATCAAGCGGAAGTCCAAGAGGTCCTGCAAACGTTCGGGTGTCGCTGGGTCATCGGACATGAACTCCAATACAACGGTCGTAAGTAACTCGGGTCGGGCGAAAGGGGGGGATAGCAAAGGGGGGGGTTGAGAATCAGCTCACGTAGCTGATTTTCCCGGCGCCTCCCGGCGCCGGAGGCGGCCATGTATCGAGGAATGGGCCCCTCGGTGAAGCCGAAACCAGCTGCATGCAGCAAATTTCGTAACCCCCCCTTTCCCAATCCCCCCCTTTCGCCCCGCCCGAGTAACACTTGTAGAAACATGTTCATCAGTACAAGGCAGATCAAAGGCAGAGAGTCGACGAGGTGATGGAAGTTGGGTAGGCCCACGAAGATGGATGCGTCCCACACCGACGCGGCGAGGGCGTACTCTGGAGGATGTGCCTCGTCAATATCGCGGAAGTGCGCCGCGACGCTGGACGTGGGGAGCTCGTCGCACTTGCCCGGCGAGACCTGCCGCGAGTGGTCGGCAGGACCGCCGTCGCCCGGCGCCGCCGGCAGCGCATCCTTCTCGGCGGCGTGCTCCTTCGACGGCTCCGCGCGCCGGTGCTCGCCCTCCTCCAACGCCTCCACGCGGCCAACGAGCGCGTCCAGGCGGGCCGTGAGGTCTTTGCCCAGCCCTGCCAGCACCCGCGCCTCCACCTCCTGTGCGATGGCCTCCCTGGCCGCCTGCAGGAGGGCCGCTGCGTCTGGCGCGTCGTCCCCGCAGGTGCCGGCTGCCAGCGACGGCATGGGCGGGCTTGTGGCACCGGCGTGGGCGGGGCGGCTCGACGAACTTGAGCCAACATGGCTACGGGACCTGTGAAAGACCGAAGAGGACGAGGAGGAGCAGGCAACGAGGGGGAGAAGAAGAGCAGGAAGATGGTGCAGTCAGGTGATATGACAAATATCGTCATCCGATGGACCCCTTCCTGGTCCCTCCGGGGCCTCCCCCTGGCCGCTCAAAGTATCTATGGGCCTTCGGCCCATCCTGCCTCTTGGAAGCAGTTTCGAAGCCTCTCTGGGCCGGTTTTGTCGGCCTCTTGGGGCCCCTTGGTGGCCTCTGGGGGGTTTCTTGGGAGTCTCTTGGGGCCTGCTGGGAGTTGATTACTCGGGCGAAATTCCGGAATTTTCGGTTCGTTGTCCCCATCCTGGGTCCCTCTTGGGGCCGCCTTGGGGCTCTCTTGGGCTCTCTTGGGCGCCTCTTGGGCAGTCTTGGCGCCCCCTTGGGCCGTCCCATGGGCCTCTTGGGAGCCTTTGGGGCTGCCTTGGGGCAATATTGAGACCTGTTGGGCCGTCGTCAACGCCGAGAAAGCTGGAAAATCGTATTTGCTGAACATTTACGTTTTCCTATGGAAAACGACTGATTTTGGGCTCGTGGAGCCCTGTGGTTAAGCCTCTGGGGGGCCTTTTTGGGCGTCTTGGCGGCCTGTAGGGCTCTCTGGGAGGCATCTTGGGCGTCTTGGGGCGATCTGTCGACGAGCCGTTGCCGTCGTGGACAACGCTGGGCACGTCTGGGGGGGATCTTGGCGCGACTCGGAGCCGTCCGGGCCTCCTCCCGAACGGCTCCGGCGAGCCGTGGACCCCATGCCCCGTCGAGGCGCCGGCGGTCCTGGAGGCCCCCACCCTGTACCCTGGTGTGTATATATATATATATATATACACGTATACATAAACATATACAAATACCTATACCTATACACATAGACACACATATAGACATACATGTAGACATACATACATACATACATACATACATACATGCATGGATGCATGCATGCATATATACATACATACATACATACATACATACATATACATGTATTATATATATAATATTTTCACGCGTGTTTCGCGCGCGCTCAGGTTCTAACAGCGCCCAAGGAACGCGCACCGCAACTTGCCAATGTGCCGGCGGGGAGCGCAGGCCTCTGGGGTCGTCTTTGCACAACGTGGTTGCCTCATGGGGACGTCTTGGGGATCTTGTATTAAGTCGGGCCTGTCCCCCTACAGGGGGACTTTGGGTGAACAATGAAAAATAATACAATATTCAAAACATTCACAACACTTTCCAAAAATGGTAAAACACATCGTCCCCATACTATTTTTTACTATTGTGGAATATCCCTCCTGTAGAAGGACAGGCCCGACTGAAGTCTTGTAAGCAATTTGGGAGGGCAATATGGAGAGTCTGGCTGGATCGCGCAGAAGCTAGAACAGCAGGGACGACAGAATCGCCACCGCAAACACATGAAGGACTTTTGTTTAGTCAATCCCTCTTGGTCGCGTGCTCGGGGCCACCTTGTGGGGCGGCTAGGTGTCTACAGGGGCCTGGGGCCGCGTTTCGGCGTCTTGTGGGCCAAAATATAGCAATGCCAATCCAATGGCCTCGCAGGTCGTGGTCGGATGTGGTCGGTTGGGGTTTCCGATGTGCGGTCGTAAGTCTGCGCGGTGGAGGCAGCGCAATGTCGCATCGCATGTTTCCATAAATCACGCCGTCGAAGTTTCCAATTGGAGTAGGTAGGTGGACTTCAGGAGTGTAGTAGCGCTGGGATGTAGGACGAAAGCAAGAGGCCTCCGCGTGAGCAGAGGTGTCACTGCAGGCGTCCTTGCTATACTGCGTGGTCATATACATTCCTCCGCGCAAACCCACCGCCACGTCTGTAGTCTACTAGATAATGCCATGGATGGTGAGGAATAGAGCAAGAAGAAACAATAGGCCAGCTCCGCTACCAAGTTCGAAATGGGTTGGGAGGCCCAACCAACAGCTTCGCCTCAGGCGAAGCCAAGCTCCAGATCTGTTGTACCGCAGTAGCGATAATCCCAATAGTAGGAGGCGAGCCATCTCAAGCAGTATTATGGTATCGATGGCAAATAATACACCTCGCGCTGAGGTGTAGTCAAATCTGGGCGGCCGGCCGCTTTGAGCCAAGTACCCGCGGATGCACGCTCTTTCCCACTCACATGCAACGCCCAGCACATTTTAGAATGGAAATCCGCCGACCCCTCGGGGTCATCGGCGTGTCGGATGCTTCCTCCTCCCCAAACCCCTCCCCCCGGGGCCCGGTCCGGTCGGTTTGGAGGGGGGGGTTCTGGCCAGCCCTGGCTGAACGCGCCACGGCCCTCACGATGGGCCATGAAGGCCCCAAGAGGCCCACAAAATGGTCCAAGAGGGCCCCGAGTCGCCGATGGATCGTTCCAAGACGCCCGAAATGACCCCCAGACAACCCAAGAGGCCCCCGAGAGGACCCCCCGGACGGCCCAGGAAGACCCCAAAAAGGTTCCAAGACGGCCCAAGAGGGCACCAAAATGGCCAAGAGGCCCCCAAGACGGCTCTAGGAGTGAGCCCAGGCGGGGGACCCGAACGGAAATTCCCCAAGAAGCTTCCAGGAGGCCCCAAGAGGCCCCCAAAAAGCCCACAAGAGAATCCAAGAGGCCCGCCGGAGGCTCCAAGAGGCCCCAACACGGCCCCCAAAAAGCCCCAAAAATGCTGCCAGGAGGCCCCCAAGAGACCTACCAGGAGCCTCCCACGGGGTCGGCGGTGCGGCGTAAGCCCAAGAATCGTTGGCGTCCCAGCGCCGTCGAGCGCATTGCAAGCAGTAAGCCCTGACCGGGACCCAACATCAGCCACGGTCGCAATTACTGATCCACCCGCGTCCAATGATTTCACAGTGAAGCCGCTCGTGGAGGAATAGCCGCCCGACCAGAATTCGATATGCACTTCGTCGGAGGTTATGTCATGATCGCATAAGATACTGTGAATAGTGAGTGACCAGCACCCGGAGTTGTCAGCCTTGCCTGATGAGTCCCACGGGCTCTGATGACCTCCGTTGCAAGGGCCGCCCTGAGTGAGGGTGCAGCCGCCGTAGGTCGGGAAAGATTCCATGAAAGGAATCGTCCGCGCGCCATTCTTAACAAAGTAAATGTCATCAATCTGGTGCGTAGACTTGTAAGTGATTTCGTACCCATAAACTGGGGAACGTGCTGCACCAGACTCGTAGGTCGTGTCGTCAATCACTTTGAGCTGAGCAGCTCCCACGCAGCCAACTAAAAACAAGAGTACCGCGATGCTGGAGGACTTCATCCCGCGTGAGTTTCACGGCGCGCAGAGTCCAGATTCTAAAAAAAGGTGCGCGAATGTGTGTGTTGTTGCCTGAGCCGAAATAACTCCGATCTGGTGCTGGCGCACAGAGTGCACAGAGCGCCAGCACTGTCGCAAAGGGCGCGGACGGCCATCAAACCATAAAAGCGCAGACCCTTGCCGATGACTTCGGAAAGATGATGTCCCTGCTGGGCTGTAGTGCCAGGGCCCCGCCCGGGAAACGCTCTCCCTTCAAAGCCAGGAGGCCCCATGTCCTGAATGGGGCTGATAATTTCTGTGGACACCCCCCGCAGGAACCTCCTCGTCCTCCTCACCCACTTCTCTTCTCTCGTACTGCTACCATCATCATCACCACCACCATCATCATCATCAGCATCAGCAGCATCATCATCATCATCATCATCGTCATCAGCATCATCATCATCAGAATCATCATAATCATCATCAGCATCGTCATCATCATCATCGTCATCATCATCATCATCATCATCAGAATCCTCATCATTATCCTCATCATCATGATCATGTTCAGGAGCATGTTCATCATCATACTCATCCTTCTCATCAGCACCGTCGTCGTCGACGTCATCATCATAATCATCATCATCATCATAAACATCATCACCACAACCACCATTATCATCATCAGCATCACTATTACCATC